GAAATATTTATTACTAACAGTGTTCCTTTGAGAACTTGAAAATGCAGCCATTCTTCTATAGTAGCAAAAGTGATAAAATTTCTTTTATTGGAATTTAGCATGTTATTTATTTTTAGAATGTCAAAGCACAATAGATCCCAACTTGGCATTTTTCAAAACTTTGATACCTTTGCTTGTTAACTTTTTGATTTTTTTTCTAAAGTAACTAAGCCAACATTTAATTGTCTTGGCACCCTTGTCAAAAATCAATTGGCCGTAAATGCCCCATTTTAAAAGTCCCCATACTTTTAAAAACTTTTAAAAACACATCTCTAAAGTATATTCCTTTCTAAAGAATATGCTTGCTGGGTATATTTGAAAGAATGAGTAATCAGGACATTCATTAGTCTCTACTTGTGCTTCTTAGCCAAGGCTGAGTTAATGTCTTACAGTTAGAACTTTTGAATTTTATAATTTATCATTGATACAATTGATCATCTGAAATGATGATAGTGGGCAGGGTGAGAGGTGGTTGTTGTACTACTTTTGAGAATTTAATTTTATACCTGTCTGCTGAAAGATACATTTTCTTGTTTAAACTTTTTCCCTACAGAAAGCTCCAGGAGTGACTTTGCTATGACTTCTTTTTTTTTTTTTAAATAAAAAATATTTTATTTTTAGTTTTATTTGTATGTGTGTATGTTGCATTTCTCACATTTTATTTTATTTTTAGTTTTATTCCAATAGGTTTTTGGGGAATAGTTGGTGTTTTGTTACATGAATAAATTTCTTTTTTGGGGGGGATGGTGGACAGAGTCTTGCTCTGTTGCCCAGGCTGGAGTGCAGTGGCCTAATCTTGGCCTACTGCAACCTCTACCACTCAGGTTCAAGCAATTCTCCTGCCTCAGCCTCCTGAGTAGCTGGAATACAGGCATGCATCACCATATCTGGCTAATTTTTGTGTTTTTTTAGTAGAGATGGGGTTTCACCATGTTGGTCAGGCTGATCTTGAACACCTGACCTCATGATCAACCTGCCTTGGCCTCGCAAAGTGCTGGGATTACAGGTGTGAGCCACCATATTTGGCCTAATAAGTTCTTTAGTGATGATTGCTGAGATTCAGTTACACCCATCACCCAAGCATTGTAGACTGTACTCAACATGTATTCTTTTATCCTTCACTTCCTCCCTCCCATTGCCTTCAGTCCCCAAAGTCCATTATATCATTCTTATGCCTTTGCATCTTCAAAGCTTAGCTCCCACTTTTGAGTGAGAACATACAATGTTTGGTTTTCCATTCCTGAGTTACTTCACTTAGAATAATGGTCTCCAGTTCCTTCCAGGTTGCTGCAAATGCCATTATTTTGTTCCTTTTTATGGCTGGCTGAGTACTATTCCATTGTGTGTGTGTGTGTGTGTGTGTGTGTGTGTGTGTGTGTGTGTGTTTTATTTTAATATCACAATTTCATTGTCCACTTGTTGATTGATGGGCATTTGGGCTGGTTCCATATTTTTGCAATTGTCAATTGCACTTCTGTTAACATGCATGTGCAAGATCTTTTTTGTATAATGACTTCTTTTCGTCCGGCTAGATACCCAGTAGTGGGATTGCTGGATCAAATGGTATTTCTACTTTTAGTTCTTTAATGTATCTCCACACTGTTTTCCATAGTGGTTGTACTAATTTACATTCCCCCCAGCAGTGTAAAAGTGTTCCTTTTCACCACATCCCTGCCAATATCTATTATTAATATTTTTTTGATTTTTTTTTATTATGGCCATTCTTGCATGAGTAAGGTGGTAATCACATTGTGGTTTTGATTTGCATTTCCCTGATAATTAGTGATTTTGAGGGTTTTTTCATATGTTTGTTGCAATGCCTTATTCTTCATTGAAGATTTTTTCAGCAATTAGACATTCAGTACAGAGAATAGAATTTCTTTCATTTATTGAGTGTTTCTTGAATATTTGTGATATACTCTGCCCTGTCAGAAACATTAAATAAGTATAAAAACATCTGTTTTCTGGATGCTTACAGTATAATTAGGAAGATCAATTATATGTACTTACCTTGCACTACTGTGTATTTGTGATTCTGGATCTATGTCTTATATCCCTCACTAAACAGAAGCTCCTTGATGATAATTATCTTTGTATTGACACAGTATGTATCACAGTATCTCACAGGTAGCTTGTGTTTATTACGATTTTTAAAAATTAATCGAACAATAAAACAATATAAGACTACTTACAATTAAATACTCAAGTGAATGGCATAACCAGTCAGCATTTTAATTTCAGAAGTAACAATGATCTGTGTGTTCTGGATTTATTAGGGCAAGCTTCATGCGAGAGACAATTTAGTGGGCTCGTAAAGGAAGGTAAGAACTGAGCAAGGAGAGAGATGTCATAGTATTTGGTGTCATCGTATTTGGAGGGCACTGAACAGATCATATAGACTGGAAGAAAAGACTGGCTTGGGCCAGGTGCGGTGACTCATTGCCTGTAATCCCAGCACTTTGGGAGGCCGAGGTGGACTCACCTGAGGTCGGGAGTTTGAGACCAGCCTGACCAACGTGGAGAAGCCCTGTTTCTACTAAAAATACAAAATTAGCCAGACATGGTGGCACATGCCTATAATCCCAGCTGTTTGGGAGGCAGAGGCAGGAGAATTGCTTGAACCCGGAAGGCAGAGGTTGCGGTGAGCCCAGATCATGTCATTGTACTTCAACCTGGGCAAAAAGAGCAAAACTCTGTCTCAAAAAAAAAAAAAAACAAACAAAAAAGAGAAAAGACTGAAAGACTGGATTGTAGATAAAGAATGATGGATAAATAGGTAGCACCATAGTATTTTTGAAGACTTTAAATATCAGTTTGAAAAGTTTGCCCTTACTCCATTTGATATTAGAAACTCATGTAAGTTTCTCGAGTTGGGACATTTTGGAACAAAATAGCACATTAAAAATATTTACCGGCCGGGCGCGGTGGCTCAAGCCTGTAATCCCAGCACTTTGGGAGGCCGAGGCGGGTGGATCACGAGGTCAAGAGATCGAGACCATCCTGGTCAACACGGTGAAACCCCGTCTCTACTAAAAATACAAAAAATTAGCTGGGCATGGTGGCACGTGCCTGTGATCCCAGCTACTCAGGAGGCTGAGGCAGGAGAATTGCCTGAACCCAGGAGGTGGAGGTTGCAGTGAGCCGAGATCGCGCCATTGCACTCCAGCCTGGGTAACAAGAGCGAAACTCCGTCTCAAAAAAAAAAAAAAAAATATATATATATATATATATATTTACTTGGTGATAATATATATTATGGACTGGAGGGCAGCTGGTATTAGAAGACCATTTTAAAAGGTAAGATGATGACTGAGTTTCTTTAGTGTGTCAGCTTTTAATAGCAGGGTTTTTTGTTTGTTTGATCTTGAGTACCTACCATAGTGCCTTGGGCAAAGCTTAAATATTTATTCAATGGATGAGTGAATATATGTATTAGGTGATCTGGGCCTGGAAGGGGCTGTTAACAGTAGGAAAAATCCATATGAATGACATTTTGGAGGAAAAATTGAGATGACTTGTTTTCTATGAGCATATAGGATATATGAAAGGTTGGAGATGACACCAAAATTTCAGCATGGAATCAAGGAATGAGGGGAGTGAGAAAAGGGACAGCCATGAGCATGCTTTTAGACTTGCTGAGTTTGACATTGAAATGCCTAGTACGTAGAGATTTAAGGACTCGAATAAGAACTGAAGTTTGAATGCTTACAATTGGATATAATTATATAGATATTGTTTAAGCAGTAAAAAAGATTGGATAGATAAAGCTGTATGTATGTGTACAGAGGTTGTGTACATGTACACAAGTATACATATTTTTCCACATTACAACTCAATATGTGTGTTACATTGTCAATAAACTAATCTACTTGTTAGTATTAGCATAATGATAAGAGCTGATTCTTAGGATGAGCAGAGGCATAAAAGGGAGTTATAGAAGGTTTCAGAAAAGAAACAAGAATTTGCAACATAAATTTGCTAGTGAGACTTTGTAAATTTGTCTTATGTTTCGAAACAACAGTAATACTCCCTTTATCACTTGTTGAGAACTTACTATATGCCAGACCTTGCTAGGCATGCTGTCTCTTTTTATCCTCACAACAAATCTGTGATTTTAGTACTATTATATCTCCTTGTTACTGATGAAGAAACTGAAGTCTAAAGAAGTTAAAACTTGCTCAAGATCACTTGAGTTGATAAATAATGAGGAGACCTTGTGGATATAAATCTAAGGTTTTGTGAACTGTAAGCCAAATGTTATCTCCATTATACCAAAGGTATGTATGTTTAATTTCTGCAAGGCAAGGACTATGTCTATACAGAATCAGTCTTCATAAAGGCTTATTAATTAGCAGAAAATGATTGGTTATGTTACCTGTAAAAATAATCAGCACATATTTTGGATTTGCCTGCTTCTACTTTTCTACTTGGATATGTATGTTTATAATGTACTTGGAGATAAAGCTTTTTTAATTGCTCATTGTGGATATCAAATTAAAAAAAGGTATCAGGCCAGGGACAGTGGCTCATACCTATAATCCCAGCACATTGGGAGGCCAAGGCGGGAGGATCACTTGAGCTAAGGAGTTTGAGATCAGCCTGGGCAACATGGTGAAACCCCGTCTCTAATAAAAATGCAAAAATTAGCCAGGCATGGTGGCATGTTCCTGTAGTCCCAGCTACTTGGGAAGGCTGAGATGGGAGGATCACTTGAGCCTGGGAGGTCGAGGCTGCAGTGAGTCGAGATGGCATTGCTGCACTCCAGCCTGGGTGACAAAGTGAGACCCTATCTCAAAAAAAAAAAATCAGTTTATTTGAAGAATTAATCATCCAGAAAGTGCTTTTCAAATATTTTTCTTAAGCTAATATAAATTTCTTTTAGAAGTTTTTCTGATACAGTCTTCAGAATATTTATACTTAGAAAAGAAATAAAAAGGGCCTGTCATTTTCTTTTATTTCAGGGGATATCATTTTCAATGCCCAATACCCAGAGTTGCCTCCTGATTTTATCTTTGGAGAGGATGCTGAATTCCTGCCAGACCCCTCAGCTTTGCAGGTGAGCACTGCAGGCTTGGTTGGATGATCTTTATTTGGTGAAAGGAAAACAAAATTGGCTTTTGGCAATTGCTTAACAGACAGATTTGTCACACGTCTGCATTCTTTTCTCACTCCTCTTTTCTCTGTTCTGTGAAATAGATGGAACTCTTAATGTGCCAAAATAGTTAAATAAGAGATTTTTTTTCATTGCCGTTTAGTTTCAGGCTATTTTGAATTAATGAAAGTCTCTAGCATATTGGTTGAAATATTTTTACTTCATTTTAAAGAGACATGTTGAAAACATTTTCTTTGTTTTAATGTAATATTTCATGCCTGCAATCAATTTTCTAATGTTTACTAACACTTCATTACGGGGCTCGTTAGGAGAGTGTTTCTTGGCTCTTCAAGAGGCTGTTTTTATATAGAAGTGAAAGTGGCAAATTTGGACTTGTATCTGCATTATCTCAGTACTACCATCAGAAGGGTAAAGACTAGATTAAATGTTCTTTATTAAGCAACACCAAAACCTTTGTAGTTAAAATGTTTCTGGAATTAAAGCAGAAATATTCACCATCAGGGAAAGGGTGGTGGTACTTGTTGGAGTTCATGTGCTTTAGTAAAAGTTGTGTGTTTTGCATGCTGGGTGGAGAAAAATGTGCCATTTTGTTTAAATGGTTCTGACCAGACAAAATGTCTCTTTTTATTTCTTCTCAAATTTGAGTTTGGTGTGATACCTATACTAGAAGAGGTTTGATTGTTGTTCAAAACTATACTCTTAGTTTTGTTTTCTAGAAATTTTTTATTTTGTTCAAGTTTTATAATGAAAAGTTTTGATTATTTACTTTGGACTCTTGCCCCGCTTCTATCCTTTAAAGGTATTAAACAGGAAGTAGTAACCCAAAGCTAAAGTATTGTCTTAAATATTAGAACATAGCCGTAAAAATATTGTTGGCAAGAGTAAGGTGGATTCATGGTAAAGTTTCTAGTAATTGCACATGAACTGTAATTTTTTTAAATTAAAAAAGTCTGAATTGAATATGCCCCTTTAGATGCTGTGTGTTATATAGTCACCTTGTATTAAAGCTGAGAGTCTTGCCTGGAAAAAAAATTACACGGAGATTTCACCACAGACCTATTCTGTATTAAATCTGCCCAGAGGAGGGTAGCATATGCCAGATGCCAAAGATGTATTACAGGCTAAGTGCTTCAGGAATTTAAAGAAGGTGGTCAGAAAAAGCTTTGTAGTTGAGGTGAGGCTTGTACTCATTCTTGAAGAATGGAACAAAAGTGGGAGGTGTGACAAGAGTATTTCAGGTGGGGGAATGACATAAGCACATTGGAAGAAGCTAGGATTTGTCTAATATATTTCAGAAGGTACTGACAGGTTTGCTGAAATGTAAGTTAATATAAGGATGGGATAGACAAGGTTAGAAAGGTAAATTGGGAGACTGTGGAGCACATTGAATGCTGGGCTAGGAGCCATTGAAGGAAATGATAAAGGGAGAATCATCTAATAGCAGTGTGGTCAATATAATGGAATAAGGAGAGATTGAAGACCAGAATTGAGAATGGTTGTAAACATTCAGTGGAGGGAGAAAGGGCTTTGAACTAGGGTGATGCAAGAAGAAACAGCATAATGGAAAGAATAAAAAAAGAATGTTTACAACTTCCTTTTTTGAAATTGCATTTAAAATTCATAGCACATATCTTTAATATGGGCAAGTATCATATGAGTGTAGAATTTAAACACTAGAAAGATTTAAGATATATTTTATTCTACTTTTCCATTTTAATATTGAGAAAATTGACCTCTAAGATTTATATAATTCTATGTCAGACTCCATATTATAATCCCACTCTTAAGATGTTTAGTCCCTGAGTGAAGTTATCACAAATGTTTTTGAGAAATTAGCTGAAAAAGAACAGCCAAAAAATCAAAGCACTAGATCTAAGTGAAATATTGCAAATCTAGGGGAATACCTTCTCTTTAGTGATAGTTCATCTACAGCCTTGGGTGGACTACCCAGGGCTTCTGCATGGATCAGTGGGCTGAGCAGTCCAGATAAGCAACCAGAGTATACCCTCCACTAGCTGGGCGATGTCCAAATCGTTCTGGAGGTTGCACCTGATGTTCATTGTTGCCTGATTAAAACACTACACAGGTTAACCACAAGGCCTGATCCCCAGCAGACATTGCTCTGAGCGTAGCTTGCCTATGAAAGATTTTTTACTCACCCATTAACAGATTTTGGTTTAATTCTTGGATTCAGTTCAGATATCTTTTTCCCTCCGTGAAATGCTCAGAGCTCAGAGCATAATCACTAGTAAGCTGACTAGTCTACATAAGGTTCTGAATGAAGGTGGAAAACAAATTTCATCACCCATGGAGTGGAAAACAGAATACCTAGATTTCTTGGGTTTTTCCTGAAGTTTGCCTTGCAGATGGGCATGAGTATATGACCTTGGAATCTGGGAGTGTAGTTTCAAGTAGTTCCTGTGGCAAATGTGGAATTTCTTTGAAGTTTCTGGGTTTTATCTTAAAAGTTCATGAAAATTTTATATTTGATTCTATAATATACCTGTATTTTCAAAACAAAATGTATTAAATTACAAATATTTGAGAAAAAAAGATTCTCCAATGTGTCTCAGTTTGAGAAATATAGTTTCAGAGAATGTATGTAATATATGTCATCTTTTATTTATTCAGTTTATTTAAATCAAATCATTCCCCCCTACCCCCAAAAAAGGATTTAAAGTAGCGTAAGTAAAGGACACACATAAGGTTAATAGGAATATGTGACGTGCTATAATCCTTTCAATGAGGCCACCTGTTTCCAAACTCAGACTCTCCGTTTAGGAAGGTGAGTTTCATTAAGGAATTTGAGATTTTCAAATAAATGTAAAATACTAGATAGAGAGGTATCTTATAGATACCAAAGATAAAATCTCATAAAATCATTGAGTTAGGACCTTAATAATGGTCCAGTAGTTCCCAATTCTAGATATACATTAAAATAAATTGAAAAGCCTTTTAAAAATATAGATCCCTGGACCCCACTGGACCTACTGAATTGTATTCTTTGGGGAGCCCAAGAACTTATTAAATTCTCTGGGCTGTTTTTATGATTACTGTGAACTGTTACTGGGAACCACTGACTGAATCCATCTTTTATAGTAATGTTTCCAACAGAAGGCTGTTTGCCTTTGCTTAACATTATTTCCAGTGAAGTATCATTTTCCATTCTTGGAGACAGCTCAAAAGTTTTCTTAAATAACAGCTTTATTGAGACAATTTATATGCCATACAATTCACCTAAAGTGTGTAATTCACTGGTTTTTAGTGTGTTCACAGAATTGTGCAACTGTCACCACAAATTTAAAACATTGTCACAATCCCAGAAGAAACCTCAGACTTCTTAGCAGTGACTTCCCTATCTTCCCACCCCTATCCAACACCACCCAAAGCAGCAACTAATCTGCATTTTGTCTCTATGGATTTGTCTGTTCTGGACATTTCATATCAATGGAATCATATAATATGCTGTTCTTTGTTACTGACCTCTTTTACTTAGCGTAATGTTTTCAGTGAAGCATGTATTACTGTTTTATTGCCAAATACAATTACATTGCATACATATACTACATTTTATTTATCCATTCACCAGTTGATGGATCTACAGGATTGTTGCCATGTTTTAGCTATTATAACTACTGTTGTGTGGATATTTTTATTTCTCGTGGATATATATCTAGGAATGGAATTGCAGGGTCAAATGGTAACTCTATGTTTAACTTTTTGAGGAAATACCAAACTGTTTTTAAAAATGGCTGTGGCATTCTACATTCCTTCCAGCAGTGTATGAGTGTTTCAGTTTCTCTTCATTCTCAGCAACACTTATTATGTCTTTTTGATTATAGGCATCCTAGTGAGTATGAAGTGGTGTTGCATTGTGGTGTTGATGCGCTTTTATGATGGCTAGTGATACTGAGCATCTTTTCATGTGCCTAGTGGCTATTTGTTTACATTCTTGGGAGAAATGTCTATTCAGATCCTTTGCCCATTTAAAAATTGGGTTGTCTTTTATTGTTCAATTGTAAGAGTTCTTTATTCTGAGCATAAAAATAAACAAAAGACAAAGAGCCATATCCATTAGTATTTATTGCTTGCATACTGTGCACCAAACACTGTTCAATATGGAACTTGACCTCAAGACGTCTAAATTTTAGGGAGGCGGCTGGATGCAGCGGCTCATGCCTTGTAATTCTAGCACCCTATCTCTCAATCAATCCATCAATAAATTTTAGGGAGGTAAGGTATAGATATCTAAAAGCAAATACACACAGGTAGTATGTAATTAAATGTTGGAATAATTGAAACAAAAGCAATGCTATGGGATAGTTAAATAGTGTTTTTCAAATACAATATATGATGTGAGAAGAAAGAATTTCAATAGATTAAGACAGAGTCTCCATTATAATGAAAAAGGAAAATTATTGCAGGTTGGAATTGTGGAATTAAAATCATCAAGAAGAAGTTAAGTGATGGGTAGGTTATTCTATAGCTGTCACCCAATTGCTTCCTTAACTTAACCTTCTTCTCTTTTGCCTCTTGCTCACCCCTTTCCAGCCACAGAAGTCCCCTTGCCATTCCTCAGGCATTCTAAACACACTCCCACCTTAGATTCTTTTCATTTGCTCTTGACCGTTTTTATTCACTCTACCTGTAACCCTTACTCCACTTACCTCAATGGCTTGTTCTCTCCTTCCTTGAAGTGTTGTTATGTCAGAGAAGCTTTCCCTGACATCTGTATGCAAAACAGTAATACTCTTTTCAGTACACTCTCGTCTTTGTTATGGTCTGTTTTCTTCAGAGCACTTATCATCATTTGATGATTTTTGGTTACTTGTTTGGTATCTGTCCCTGCCAGGGTGACCCACTGCCTTGATTTGCCTTGGACTGAGGGGTTTTCTGAGATGCAGAACATTCAGTGTTAAAAAAGGACAGTCCCAGGCAAACTGGGATAATGAGTCATCCTGTCTTTTCACTGGAATGAAAGCTTCAGGAGAGAGTGGAATTTGTTCACCGCTGTATCCTGGTAATTTGAAGAGTACCTTGCATGTAGAGGTATACAATGCATATTTGTTAGATAAACAGATTTCCTTTAAGTTTCTGTATTCCTGAAGAGACTTGCTAGTTTCTAGGACTAAAAAATACACTTTAGATTAAAATTTAAAATAGTAGAAAAAAATTTAGTTTTAGAGAAATTTGGAGGGATAAAAATCAGTTAACAGAACCTCTGAAACAATGATTTTCAGCCTCTGTTTTGCAATACCCTGTGGTATATTCAGCTCCCTCAAAGGATATTATGAAATTCTTTACCCCTAAAGTAATAATGATAATTCACTTTAATTTAAAATAAAGTTGCATAAAGGAGGAAGGGTGGATTATAAACTTAATTGAGAAAAGCATGTTGCAATTGTGGTAGATTGGAAAGCACTGCAGTCTGACTTCCTGGTTTGAGGAAGCTGAGGGTAATTTAGTGTTTGGGACAAGCAGCTTCAGGGTAGTGAACCTAATGCTACTGCAGGTATAAGTCACTAATCGTGTGATTCCTTCAGTGACTGTTCTGCTTGAGTAGAATATAAGAGTACCAATACCTTGTCAGTTTTCCTCCTCTGCTGTTCACCGCATTACCTACAGAAAGACATCTTCTGAATGTGTCCTTGCAAAATAGTTCCCATCCCCAGTGTACACAAAATATATACAAAGAATGCACTAAGTTGAAATGTACTGCATGTAACACACTTCAAAAATGCGATCCAGATGTATGGTGCTTGATGCCTAGACACTTCTAAGTGCCTTGGCCTATAACATATTTTAAAATAGAATGTTCTCTCCTTTTTCAAATCTCTGTTTGATGCCTCATTTGAGACCTATAAAACACTTGTCCTTAGCCCTGAAGCTGGACATAGTACTCAAGACAGATAAGTAAGCAGAATTACAGCATAGAGTGACAAGTGTGAAGGTGGAGGTATATGCACAGAGCACTGTGGGAACATGGAGGGGGCACTTTACCAGATCCATGTATGTGTGGTAAGTACCAGCGACTTGGACACATACTTGATTTTTTATAAATAATATATATATCTTAGGTAATTATTATTGACAGATAACCTCCATACAGAAGAGTGTACAAATCACAAGTACATAGCATGGTGAATTTTCAAGAGGTAAACACACATGTGTAAGTAGCACCTAGATCAAGAAGTGATAATTCAAACATTCAGAAGCCTCACTCATATCCTGTTCCGTCACTATGATCACCTTGCCTCAGAGTAAACACTATGCTGACTTGATGTTGACATCATTATTTTTTGATCTTCATACAAACGGAATCAAACTATATGCTTATCTTCTTTCACTCATTATTTATTTGTGAGTGTCACCCATGTAGTTATTTTGGTTGTTGTTCATGCTCATTACTGATAGTATTCTATTGTATGAGCATACCACAGTTTATTTATCCATTCTACTATTGTTTGACACTTAGGTTATTTTCAGATTTTTTTGCTGTTGTGAATATTGCTACTATGAACATTCTTGCTTAGGTTATTTTCCGATTTTTTTGCTGTTGTGAATATTGCTACTATGAACATTCTTGCTTAGGTTATTTTCAGATTTTTTTGCTGTTGTGAATATTGCTACTATGAACATTCTTGTACATGTCTTGGTTAATGCATCTATATCCATTCCTGATGGGTATATATTGAAGGGTGGGCTTGCCCGGTCATATAGTATAGATGATAGGACAGTTTGAGGTTTCTCAACTTTATTAGTTTATCAGTCAGGGTCCAGTCATGAGACAGAAAATGTAGCAGTAATTTGAATAGGGAAAATTTAATATAGAGAATTATTTACCTAAAGGGGTAAAGGAGATCTCTAAAGAATGCAAGATTAGCAGTTGTAGGGAGCAGCTATACTAGGGCTAAGGGAGAATACCCAAAAGGAAACAAACTTTGAAGACCCTTTCTCCTTTCCCATCACGCCCCTGTCACAGCTGAGATTCCCACCTCCTTGTTAGAGAGTGTGGCTGCAGGCTACCGGAAGATGAAAACCTTCACTGGGGGTGCTGTGGGCCAGAATTGATGCAGGTGGCCTACTGGGTGCTGGTAAGCCACGGCTGGCAAAGTGGGAATGGGCTGGTTTCAGTGAAACAGGCTGGAGGAAGGGCACTAATGGGTCTCCTGCATGGCTCTGGTGACTGCACTGTGGGAGGAAGGAGGAAAGTACACAGAACCAAGATAAGAATCTCTTCTCTCTGCTGTGCCTTGCACTGTCTCTCCATCACTCTGTTAACAAGCTGAATACTGTACCTGTTGGCAAAGGAAAATTGTTTACAGGTTCTGTCCCCAGCTTCATAAACAGGGTAAAGCAGAGTGGCTTTGGGAGATGAGAGGCAATAAATGAATGAATAGCACAACTAGATAATGCCAAACTTATCTTCCAGTTTATTATTTTTACTATTAAACCTATCCTTATGAGTTCTTAAGTTTAGAGAATATGTTCTTCAGTTCCACAATTCCATTCAATTCCTTTCTATAAATTCCAATTCTCTGGTTAATTTATCTTTTCATCTATCTTTTCATATTCTAAATGGCTTTCTCCACTTTCTTGCATATGTAAATCATATTTATTTTCTAGTCCTTGTGAGCTAATTCTAGTATCTGAAATGTGTTTGGGCTTTTTTGTTTTGTTTGCTATTTTTTTTTTTTTTTTTTTTGGTTCTCCATCACTTGGCTCTGTTTTTGGTGTTTCTGGTAGTTTTGAGTGAATGTCAGACATTCCAGTTAAAACACTATAGAGGCTCCAGATAACGCTATCTTCTTCCAGAAAGAGGGTTTATTGTCCCCCCTGGTAGGGACATAGGCTGATGTGATTGGTTGATCACTTTAATCCAGTCAGGGATTTTGCTGAGTCGAGGCTAGTTTATGGCTTTGCTAAGAGTCTGTTTACTTCTGGTTCACTTCTGTCCTGGAATAGTGTTCTTCAGGGTTTTACTTGGGAGGCTGGAGTGGCCAGTATTCCTAAACAATTCTAAGTGCCTTGGCCCACAATATACTTTAGGATAGAATTCTCTGTCATTTGTCGAATATTTAAACACACAAGCAATATGGATCCCAAATTCTAAATGTTGTCTTACAAGACTGCTGATTGCTTTGCTGTATTTTTCACAGGCGTTTTCTTAATTTTTAGCTTCTTGACCTGGGCTACCCCGGAATTCTTCAAAGTCTTGAGGGGAGCTGGCTGCATTTTTGAGGTCTCTCAACACTGCCAAAAGTTCCAGTGGTTTCTCTAAGCCTCAGCAGCAGTTTTGTGACTGTGTGGAGCCTGGATTATCAGCCTCCCTCCTGTACCCAGAATTTGCAAATGTCCCCTGGGTAAAACCAGCTGGAGACATCAGTTCCTCACCCTGAGGTTCTCTCCTCGTGATTCTCAGCCTCCCAGTTCTCATTGCTTCCATAGATAGCAAATACCTTCAGATAGATTTCTATATTTTATTTAGCTTTCTAGTTGTTTTTATTGAGAGTGCTGGTCTGTGTAGAGCTACTTCATCCCACCTGGAAGCATAAGTCCTCTGTATTATATTTTGAGAACACATAATTTTACAATTTACCTTCAAAGTAATAGTACGAAAGACTTCAGCAGATGATAAAATACAGTGTACATGTATTACACCTTGGTAGGAATACAGAATTAATAAAGTTAATTGTTAATAATTAATAAAAATGATATTAATAAAATGTTCAATAAGATTAATAAAAATTAACAAAATGAAGATTACAGTACTTCTTCATTTTTTATGAAAACCTAGATGTTAACTTCCAATATATACATTCCTAAGGTAGAAATAAGAACATTATATAGCATGGCATCTCTGGTTCTCTTGATTTTAATGCAGCATGTAATCAAAGGATGCATCATCAGTAAATGACCCAAGAGAATATGAGAAAATTACTAGAAATTTTGGTGGAAAACTGGTTTATGTGTTGATGAACTAAAAACTATTGTATTTTTACCATGTCTATTTTCTCAGCCAGGGAAACATTTTATGAGGTAGGAAGAAAATTAATATTATTATTATTATTTTTTAAATATACTTCCTAAAGGAAGACGTGGAAGAACCCTCGTTAAAAATTATGATGTATGATTTCATCTGTTTTCAAAGGTGTTGCTATTATATTATAGCCAATTATAGATTAAAAAGAGTATTAATATATACACATATGCATACACAAATAATTTGAAAGCATGTGTTATAAACAAAGCTTTAAAAGCATAGTTGTCGAAAAACAACATCTTGAAAGCACAAACAAGGTACATTAAAAATGTTCACTCTCATAAGACAAATGAAAAAAAGGCAAACCAAGTTATTTTTTGAAATCCAATGGCAAATATAACATTTAGCAGATGTTGCCAGTTTTGATTTACTCTATTGAATTGTAAAACAGCTTTTGGGAAAATGAGGTACTGAGTTGAGTGTAAACCACTGCAATTCAAGAATATGCTTATCCAGAGGAGTTATTTAATCAGTTTTGAAGATTCCCCTTTGTCATTGGTTGGTCATCTCTTGTCATCCACCTACTCTTCGTCACCTCCTATTCTCTCCACCACTCTCTTCAAAGAGCTGGATTTTTAAATAATAATAATTAGCATTCAAAATGCAAATAAGTACCAAGAAAAACCAGTCTGTAACCCTATATGACTTAAAGATGAATATTCACGGTTTAGTAGATATTTATTTCTGGTGTTTTTCTGCCTATGCTATGTGGACATATGTACAATACATTTTTCAATTTTTAAATTTTATATGTTATTGTAAGCATTTTTCCTATGACATTACAGATTTATCATAAGCACCTTTTAAAATTGGCTTTTGTTCTTTTGATCTGTTCCTGATTGCTAGTACCTCTCTAGGAAGATGAAAGATGTATCTCAAACCAGTCCTTTTTCTTTATTTTTGTTTGTTACTCATAGAGAGTTCCACTTGAAGCTAAAAGAAATGATGATTACTTGTGAATTCTTAACCACCTTTCCCCTTACCCTGACTAACTAATAGTTGGTTATGGTTAATAACTTACAAAAAAATCTATTAGTTCATCATTTTAAGACTAATGTCTGTCAACAGGGATTCTACCTTTGTTTCTCTTAAGAAAATAAGGGAGAAATGAAGGTTTTAGTAACATTAAAATTGGTTTTGGCTAATATATTATACCATTGAGCAGAAGATAGAGAATCAATCTTTCACTAGGACTTTGGTTTAATTGGAGAATCAGGACTTAGACATTAAAAGGGAAATATTGTAGCAAGTTACATAGAGTGTATTGTCATAGCAGATTATATACATCTTTATTGCATTATATTCTTAAATATAAATAAAAAACAGCCTTAGGTTTTATTTTCCTTTTTTTCTTCTTCCTAATATGGTTTACAAAGACATTGAAACTTTTGTGAAATGTTCATGATTTGGGGATAATATTTTTTCCTTTATGATACTGAGGATTTCAGAAATTTTTAATGCCTCTTTAGCCACTTGCTGTTAAGTAAGCTTCCTGAAATAGTTATGAACTTCATGTGTATACATTAGATTTTCAGAGGAGTCAGACTTTTATTATATATTTAAAAAGAATGTACAGTTGATTGTTGATTATATTCCCTCAGGATCTTTAAATTATTTCATATTCTTCACTTGTTTCAAAGGCTGGTGTTACAACTAGCTTGCTTTGTACGCTTTTGGTATACAGGGTCTTTTGAGGAAAGGGCTATTTATTTTTTAATAAAGTTTTAATTTTAGAATTTTAGTTTTAGATTTATAGAAATGTTGCCAAGACAGTACAGAGAGCAGAGAGTTCTTGAATGCCTCACATTCAGTTTCTCCTATTATTAATATCTTACATTACTATGGTATGTTTGTAACAATTGATAAACCAATATTGATATATTATTATTAACTAAAGTCCATACTTTATTCAGATTTTTAAAGTTGTTTCCTGATGTCCTTTTTCTGTTCTAGGATCCCATCTAGGATTCCACGTTGCATTTAGTCATATGTCCTTTTGGGATCCTCTTGTGACAGTTTTTCCTATTTTCCTTGTTTTTGATAACTTTGATGGTTTTGCAGAGTAACTGGCAGGCTATTTTATAGAATGTCACTCAGTTGGGATTTGTCTGATTTTTTTTCATGTTTAGGCTGTGGTTATGGGCTTTTGGTAGGAAGACTTCAGAGATACAAAGCTGTTTTCATTACATATCAAGTCATATTGATAGTCATGTATTATCAATAGAACTTTTCAGTGTTGTTGACCTTAATCACTTGGCTTGAGGGAGCTACCCTGTAAAGCTATTCTTTCTTTCCCTCTTTTATACTGTACTATGGAAGGGACTCACTGTGTGTAACCCTTAGAAGTGGGGAATTATACCCTCTTTGAGGGCAGTGTCTAATAAATTATTTGGAATTTTACTGCATGGGAGATTCATCTCTTCTCCCCATTTATTCATTTATCCAATCATTTATTTATGTCAGTATGGACTTACAGATATTTATTTTATACTTTGGGTTACAGTGCAATACTATGTTATCTATTTTGTTATTCAAATTCTTCCAGCTTTGGACATTGGACATTCTTTCACTTGGTTTCTGTATTCCTTTGACATGCCTCCATCATTATAGGGTTTTTATTTATTTGTTTTTTTGAAACATTTTCTTACTTCCTGGTACTATGAGATGATCTAGGTTCATCTTGTCAGTTTCTTGCTTCAGTCTTAGTATCATCCATTTCTCTGAGGAGCCCTTGTCCTTTTTATTGGAGAAAGGTTTTAGAAACCAAGATCTGATTGCTAGTGTGCTTGTTGCTACTGGGATGTCATTGCTTTTATTTAGGTCCTTTCAGCTCACAGAACAAGGAAATGTGCATATCTATAAATATTTGTATATGTAGCCATCTGTACCTATATTAAGGGAAACATGATTTCATACTATTGTCTTCAACTCTTATCCACTTCCACATGGGTCATTCTAGTCACCAGGAAGGATTATTTTAAGATCACATTTGTGTATGTACTGATGTCTGCCTTCCTGTGATATTATTCCTTTTTATTAGTTAATTCCTTCTACAAACATGTATTGAGTGTATATTATATTTAAGCCTTGTACTAAGTGCAAGGGATACAAAAATGAATGATTCATTGATGCCTTCACAATTTCTTCAATACCTGTTTGTTGAATACCTCATATTTAGCACTGTGCTCCATTCTCACACTTTAGTAGTGGGGAAAATATGGCTACAGACAGTTATGCTATAAGGCGAAATGTAACTGTGATACAAGGTGGGGAAAAAAGTGTGTTCTTGTGTTGCTTAAATAGTAGCTAAGACTGAGTGATTTATAAAGGAGAGTAGTCTCTTTTGGCTTACAGTTCTGCAGGCTATACAGAAAACATGGCATGGCATCTGCTTCTGGAAAGAGCCTCAGGGATCTTACAATTATGGCAGAAGGCAAAGGGGAAGTAGGCATGTCACATGGTGAGAGCAGGAGCAAGAGGGAGAGGAGGGGCGGCCACACTTTTTCGAACTGTCAGATCTCATGTGAATTCAGAGTGAGAACTCACTGATTACCATGAGGTTAGACCCACCCCTATGAACCAGACACCTCCCACCAGGCCCCAACTCCAACATTGGGAGTTACATTTCAACATGAGATTTGGAGGGGACAGAAGTCCAAACTATATCAGAAAGATAATAACAAAGTTCAGATGAAGAAAAATTACTTCAGGAAAGATAGTCATGTGATGAATTTAGCGGTTAGAACCTGGTGAGATACAAGTGACAGAAAATACAATCAAACAGGTTAAAAAAAATTGATTTGTTCATATACCAGTAAAGACCAGAAGTAGAACTAGCTTGGGGTGTGAATAGTTTTAGGGCTTAAACAATGTAATCAGGGCTTTGCTTTGCCTTCTGCTCATGCTGATATTATCCTTGGTCTCTTCCTAGTATCTCCTAGTACTTCTAGGTGAACATCATAACACATAGTTCCAAAGAAGAGAAAGTCTGGTATCACAGAGTCTTGGAATTGAGACTTGTTTGTTTTGACTCTTTTCATATAGGTCATTGTATCCATGAACATTATTGCTCTGGGGCACAGAATGTGCTGATGAGCTTAGCTTTGTATATATGCTTCATCTGTTTCACAGATGTTGGTTTTGTGATTATTATTAATTAAGCTATTCATTTTTGTTTTGTGAACTTGTCCATGTATTTGTTATATTTTACAATATATTTTTTAAAAAAGAGCTAAATATGTTTAGCATATAAATTTTAATCAATGTAATTCATCAGATTCAGGTAGTCCACTTAATTCTAAGATGGCTATCTACAAAGAAACTTACTCCTAAGCACATCATGGCAAATGACAGAAAACCAAAGACAAGGAGAAAAATCTGAAAACAACCAGAGAAAACAAAAAAGCAACCATTAGATTGTTAGCTGACTTCTGAGTAGCAATAATGGAAGATAGAATACAGTTTAGTGATATATTTGATGTGATAAACTAAACAACAATTTAAAATCCTATATCTAGCAAAAAGATTCTTAACTAAGTGAAATAAATCTATTTTCAAGTAAACGAAAGCAGAGACTTCATCATTAGCAAACCTTTACTAATTCTTCAGGGAAATGAAAGATAAAAATCTCAGATGGAAGACTAGAGATGCAGATAGGCATAAAGAGCAACAAAATATAATAAAGGGAGCTAGTAGTTAAAGAGTGTATAAAATTATAAATCATCTAGAGGGTGTTTCAGCTAGAATTGTTTTATACATTCTGGCGGTTGTTAGAATTTATGTTCCCAATATATTTCACGTAGGCAAATATTAAATTATGTGACTTCTTGTTATTTACTGGTTGGGGAGTGGGGAAGTGGGTAAATATAGGGTGAAAAAAGAAAATGACACTAAAGCTTGGCTTTGCAAGTGGCTAATTTAATGCTGACCGTGTCTGCCATCCTGCTTTCTGCATTTATCTTCTTGTAGCGCTGTGATTATTTCTTGGGGACATCAGGATATATTGATTGCTGGTTCCTAGCTCCCAAAGATTTCAATTTATTTACTTAGTCTGGGGTAGAACCTGGGTATCAGTGGCTTTGGAAAGCCATTTCTAAGGCTGGGCAACATGGCAAAACCTTGTCACTACAAAAAACACAAAAATTAGCCATGCATGGTGGCTTACACCTGTAGTTGCAGCTACTTGGCAGGCGGAGGTGGGAGAATCCCTTGAGCTCAGGAAGTTGAGGCTGCAGTGAGCTGAGATGGTACCACGGCACTCTAGCTTGGGTGACGGAGTGAGACCCTGTCTCAAAAACAACAAACAAACAAAGCCAATTCTAGTGTTATAACCAGAGTCGAGAACTACAGGTTTTGGAAATGAATATGGGCGAGACAGATCTTAATTCTAGACTTAGTTTTATTGATTACTAGTTGGATTATGGTGGATCTATGTATTTATTTATTGTTAAAACTGATAAGTACCTATCTCACAGGGCCATTTTAGGGAATAAAGACAGTAACATTCAAATGTAGAAATGAAAAGAAAACCAGAGGTGTGGAGGTCAAAATGACCAAGGGCAACGTATAATCATTATCAGAGAGAGCTTAGCATGTGGACGTATTTTCAAAGAAGCCCTAAGTTTACCTTTATAATTGAAGCAGTTTGTTTGATTTTTGTACTTATCTTTCAACTCCTATCGAAATGAGGTTTTGTACTTGCTGAGGTCTTTAGGATTGGGATTATTCTGCTGTACTTGGGTTATCTACAGGAATGGGCACATGACAGAGGAAGAGTCTTATAAGTTTTGAACCTGTTTCTAATATATGTTTTCTCCAACATTTTTAAAAAGCAAAAAAAAAAAACAAAAAAAAAACCTTAGCCATTAAAAAACATTTCAGAGAAATTATCTGCATCCTGCTGAGAATTTTATGCCAAACTGCAGCCCCCACACAAGCTTTGGAGAGCCAAGATGTTTAAACCTGTGAAGTACAACGCCAGCTCAACCCTTACACTGGTTTGATGTAATCCTTTAACCACAGAACGGTTTCTAGCCTTGAATTGACAATGACTCAGTGGACCTTGTATACATTTGAAGAATATTTTTAAGTAGGTAGGATTATGAAAATAGAAGTACAACAGTATTCTAAACAAAATATTCAACACATTGTATACAGTTTCTTGAATATGTTTCAAGAACATTTATGAAGAAGCCAGATTGAAAAGTAAAATCTGGATTATTATAGAATTTTTAAAAGACGGACAGCTAATTACTTACAGTATCTAACTAAAATAGTCTACCAGAGGTTATCAGCCACTTTTAAAAATCAAACAGCGTGGTTCATTAGGAGATTAAAAAATTGATTTGCATAAACACTAATTGACATAACAATTATATATAATTTGTGTGTTTAAAGATACTTTTTTTTTTTTGGTTTTTGTTAAGAGATAGGGATCTCTGCTGCCTAGACTGGAAGTGCAGTGGCACAATCATAGCTCACTGCTGCCTCGACTTCCTGAGCTTAGGTGATCCCACCTTAGCCTCTTGAGTAGGTGGGATCACACTTCCATGCCTGGCTTAATGATATATTTTTAAAAGATTTATTTTATTGATTTTAGTAATTTGAAGATGTTTCCAAGGTTACCATAAACTTTAGCCTAGTTAGCACCTATGGGAATTATTTTTAAAAGGCAAAATATGTCTCAATTTTTGACTTTAATTTAAAATTAATTTAATGTAGTAAAAGTATAAGTTAACTGTTTATTTTACTTTCAGCTCCTATCTAGGTTCTACTCCAAAGTCAGTGAATCTACACAGATTAAATTGAAAGCATTTTCAAGTCAGGAAAAAAAACTATTTCAAACATTTGAGTTTTTATGTTTTTATTGGTATATGAATATAAATGAATAGAAATAATTTTGGAATTAGCTATAGATTTATGTTATGTAGGTATCTTGTCTAGTTCATAGTGAATACATTATAGACAACCTTAATTGTGTTTTACTGAGTTAGAAAATCTGTAATAGTAATTTTCAACCTTTTAGTACTAAATGTAAACAATTGAAATACTATCTGTTAATCCAAGAATTTTGGCTTCCTGAAGACAAGTTAAAGGCCATTTCTTATGCTTTGTTAGTATTTTTTTGACTTTTAAATTTGTAATTATTAAATTTTAGATAAAAACTTTGGTGCTATTTTCAACATGCCCTGTAAAAATTTCTGTTTTTCAAGGAAACAATGCATTTAAAAATGTTTATAACATTTAGAAGAAAGGACTAAGGAAGTATTTAAAATTGATAATTTTTAAAGCCAGATTAAAGAAATAAGATTAATTACATAGCTTCTTTAACTGTTAACATCATGTCATGGCTATAAATTTGTAACTAGCCATTTTAGAAATCAAATCATAATTCTTGGGTATAATTTTGAGAAATCAAAACACAAAATTAATTATAACTGTCGAATTTCCTTATTTGAAAAACTTTCTATTTTGGAGTATTGTATAATGAATCCCATGGATCTCGTTTCAATAATTACCACGTCATAATCTACACTTCTATTCACTTACTGCCTAGCATGATAGTTTGAAGCAAACCCCACAATTATGACATTTCGTCTGTAAATATTTCAGTATAGTACTCAAAAACATAAGAAATCTTTTTAAAAGCATAACCAAAATACCATTATCTTATCTAAACAAACTGACAGTAACTCTCTAGTGTCATCAAATAACCAGCCATTGTTCAAATTCCTAATTGTTTGAATTAAGATCTATGCATTTCGATTGTTATGTCTAGTCTCTCTCTCTGTCTCTTTTTTTTGTTTGTTTGTTTGAGACAGAGTCTTGCACTGTTGCCTGGGCTGGAGTGTAGTGGTGCCATCTTGGCTTACTTCAATCTACCTCCTGGGTTCAATCAATTCTTCTGCCTTAGCCTCTCAAGTAGCTGGGACAACAGACGTGTGCCACCATGCCTGGCTTTTTTTTTTTTTTTTTTTTTTGATTTTTAGTAGGGACGAGGTTTCACTGTGTTAGCCAGGATGGTCTTGATCTCCTGACCTCGTGATCTGCCCGCCTCAGCCTCCCAAAGTGCTGGGATTACAGGCGTGAACCACTGTGCCCAGCCGTCTCTTTTAACTTATTAGTTTTCTCCATCTTTTTTTTTCCTTCCTTTATTTTATTTTATTTTTTTTTATTACAATTCATAGCTGCAGAAACTGGGCCATTTGTCCTGGAAAATTACCACAGACTAGATTTTGCTGATTGTATCTCTGCAGTATAGTTTCACATGTTTCTTTGTTCCTCTGCAGTTCATATAAATTGGTAGTTGGATATATGTCCCAAATTTCTTTTACCTTAAATTACTTGGTACATAGTCACAAACCATCAGTAAACCTGGTTTCTCCTACACCTCTGGTCTGAGTTTTGTGAAATAGCTGAAATAAGGACTATGTGCTTTATTTTATACACGACATATACAGGAATCTTTAGATTTTATTTAGATAATTGTATATAATGCTTGACGGAAGATTTGAATTTGCAGTGACATTATTTAGAGCAAAATGAGACAAATATGTATATAGGAAATAGAAAAGAACTACCAAAAGCAACAAGGATTCTAAAGATACAGTATCCTGGTGTCATTTATTTTAAGGACAGGTAGCCTATTCACTGAAAACTTCCCTAACCATATCACTCTTTTTAAAAACTGTCTATCTGTTTTTACAATAATGACCCCTGTTCATCAAGTAAGGTGAATTATACTAAATATGCTTTATTTTAAACAGTAACAGGGGCAACTAGAGAGTTAACAGTTTAGTTTAGCACTTGAAGGATTAAGGAATTACATATTGTAGTTGAAAAATATGGTGATCTGGTTAGTCTGCAACCTCTGTTTATGATATATTTAATGTGTGTATATTGAGGATAGGTGTCATATATAAAAATTACAGAAATTCTTCTGTATTGAGAGTAGTTGGGAAATAAGGTACACTGCCTAGTCAAATATTTAGACTCATAAAAATATACTACATAAGCTTTATGTGGATCACCAACTCTTTTAAAATAATTGATTTTTAATAAAATACCCCTTACACTAAAAGTAGAACATAATTTGATCTTTTTTTGATGGTTCAGAAGCATTTAAGAGACCTGATAGCATCAGAATTATTATTAGCCTTAATTATCATTATATTGTAGCTGCATAGCAGAGTTGATTAATGCAGAGTTCCAAAGTAATGTTTGTTACCATAGAATTTTCACTGGATTAAGAAAGCCTGAATGGTAGTCACAGAGAATCACATAAAGAGACAAGAACCACTGTGGATGCATATATATATGTGTGGCTGCATACATAGACTTGTATTTTCTCATGTGCACAGGTGTACATATTATTGTTAAACTTACAGTGTATATTGTTAAACATATATACATATATATCAACTTGTGACATGTGTGTCCATTACCAGTACTAAGGAAGCTGCAAATGGAAGGAATTTGATCAAAATTTACCAAGAGGAAATTGGCTCCAAGACATAATGCTTTTGGCTGGAGAAGATAGTGATCCTGGCACTGTATACTCTCTATTTCCTTGTTAGAGCTCCAAGATTGAAAGAATTAGCTACATAGAGACAGATGCTTGGTAGCTTTCTGGAAGCACAATTATAAGGTTTATGAAAAACAGGAAGATCAACATCGCATACAGGTTTTATGAACTGGGAACTGATTTAATGTGCTATTTTGTATCTCTTAGACCTTGTCTATTGAGCCATAATAATTTCATTTCATTTTTATAACTTTTTTTACATTCTTATTTTAAATGTGATAGCTTTTGGAAAGAAATTATGTCTTAGAATGCTTTTAAGATGCTATTTTTCAGACTGTTTAAACTTTTTGTGATTGATGACTGTAATTAATCATATTGCAATATTATATTTTCAGAATTGCTCTCCAATTTTCTTTTGTCTACTTCTGCTAATAACCACAGATTAACTTGGCTCCCAATAGCCAGTATCTTTATTGACCCCGGAAAATTTTTTGGATCCTTTAATATACCTAATTTAGTTTATAATGAATTGAATAGTGGTGATCATTCACTTGGAAAATAATTTGAGTGCCCACTTTGAATAGCCCATAATGTCTAACACAGTATTTGCATAGAGATGAATAAGATTCTGTTCCTGTTCTCCAATAGTGTATAGCCTTATTAGAAGGAAGGTGATATGAAGTAACTACATTACCCAGACAATCAGTGGTTCCTTATTAACATTACTGGATGCATTGAATAGGAGAGGTTTCTTTTTATCTTTAATTTTCAGTGACTGAGAAACTTCAGCTATTCTTTCTGCGGCATTTTGCTTACATGACACCAATAAACACCTGATGCGTCTATCATAAATGAAGAGACCACGGGAGGAAATAAATAGTTTTTTTAGAAGATGCCCTCAAATCTCAATAATCTTATTTGTAGCCGGGGCTACCAACTCAAATGTCTGAAGGAGCCAGCCAAGTGTCCTCAAGTAACACAAATGAATGAGAAAGTAGGTATGAAACAGCTGGAATTGGTGGGGATTGTGACCTGCCGAAGTGTGTATGCTTTGTCAAAACATTTTCAAATAAAAATTTGTGTGGGTCAAAGAAAGCATGTCTGCAGGCTGAGGTGGCCAATTTGCAAATGTTCCATAATTCTTTACTCTTAATGAAACCATTACAAAAACATTTGAGAGAAATGATGATTTAAAATTAAACACAAATGAATATGTCCAATTTGAGAATAATCACACCATTTAGCAAGCTATTTGGCACTTTCCCCTCTAGGGCACAAGTGACATTAAATCAGGTGTGATGGGATATCGGGGGAGCCTGGATGATATTACAG